TCCAGGAATCGAGCTTTTGGGTCATGTGAAACCGTCGGGAACAGTGACCGAATAGTCTGATGTGACCCAAGTGCAAGTCTGAGCTCAAGACTCAAGTGGGACTTTGAAAAAGTGCTGCAATGCCCGCCTCAAACCACACCCAATTTGACATCCACCAATCGCGGTGAGACCCCTCATTTGCATAACCCTAACCCTAATTTGCATAAGCATGCCCACTTTCCAAGTTCTGACCAATCAGATTGGTCCAAATTTGCATAACCATGCGCCCAAAGGGCCCACCAATCAGAGAACGCCTAATTTGCATAACCACTCCCCCTTTCCACAAATCACAGCATGTTATCGACATGCTCCACCCACTTTTGCAGCTTTCAGCGAATCATCAGCCATCATTCCAGCCAGGCCACACCCACTTTCCTGTATTTTTTTTTTCCAGGCAGAAAAATCCAGGAAAAAAAATTTTTGGAAAAAAAATTTTGAAAAAAATTCAGAAAAAAGTTTAGAAAAAAACTGAAAATAATTTTGTTTAAATTATTATTCTTATTTTTAAAGTTAGACTGTGGTGATGTGTTTAAAAATGAAGTTGAGTTGAAGTGTTCTTTGTAATCAAGCTTTATTTTTTTTGCAGAGTAGACAATCACAAAAGCAGAGGAAAAAGTTGCAAGTTGGATGGCAGTCTGCTTGTTGCTGGGCGGCGAAGTGGTCAGCTCTTGAGAAGAACGTGGGACAGGTGTGTTGACCTGAGAGGAAAGGCATCTGTGAGTTACACGCAAGTCAATTTCTTGTGCAGACAAAGATGTGTTGGGCATGAAACTTACCAGGGAGATAGACTGTTGGGTCTTTCGAGAGCAGGATGCCAATCATGTTTACTGCTGCCTGGGGGAGGGAAAAAAAAGTAGTCGTGATGGTGCATTGAACGAGTGTAAATGTCTCCTATTTTTCAGGCTGGCCCAAAGTTTGACTTCAGCACCTTGCGAAGAACAGGAAGAAGAGCAAAAAGTGTTGCCTGCAGGTCTGTGCTCGTAGGTGGACTCTGGCGGTGAGCAGGTTACTCCTTCTTGTGGCACGGAGGACCCAAGAACAATCGTATATATGCATTGCAACTGATCCCACTGACTGTACAAAGGCAGAAAACCTGAACAAGTAATTGGTCTTGAAAAATATAGTAATGCACTTTTAAGATTAAATGAGATTTATAAAGAAACGAATTTTTAAACCATTTACACGAGCATATAAAATCTAAATGTAATCCCTGCTTACTCCTTCCAAACTAAGGAGAGTGCTATGATATGTGTAAAGAATAAAGTATTCACATGTCCTTGATAGTGTCTGCTGTGTTGGGTCTGTCTCAGTGACAGACTGAGGCTGCTGTTGTCGTCTTCTCTGATCAAAACAATGTTGTCTTTTCCTCTGATCAAAACAGTGTCTCCCCCTAGCGGATATTCCACGAATTGAACCTGATTAAAAATATTCATTCCGTGTCTTTTGTGCATTTTTTCACTTTTAAATTATCCTGCAGGCCTGATCAAACTTCCTTGCGGGCCGGTTCCGGCCGGATGTTATACACACCTGATGAATAGTAAGCCGTTTTTAGCCGAAAAAAACGACCATGTATAGTAAGGCGTTTTAACCCAAAAAAAACGACAATGTAATGGAAGGCGTTTTGAGACGAAAAAAATGATCATGTATAGTAAGGCCTTTTAACCCGAAAAAAACGACCGTGTATAGTAAGGTGTTTTTAGACGAAAAAAACGACCATGTATAGTAAGGCGTTTTGAGCAGAAAAAAACGACCATGTATAGTAAGGCGTTTTGAGCAGAAAAAAACGACCATGTATAGTAAGGCGTTTTGAGCAGAAAAAAACGACCATGTATAGTAAGGCGTTTTGAGCAGAAAAAAACGACCATGTATAGTAAGGCGTTTTGAGCAGAAAAAAACGACCATGTATAGTAAGGCGTTTTGAGCAGAAAAAAACGACCATGTATAGTAAGGCGTTTTGAGCAGAAAAAAACGACCATGTATAGTAAGGCGTTTTGAGCAGAAAAAAACGACCATGTATAGTAAGGCGTTTTGAGCAGAAAAAAACGACCATGTATAGTAAGGCGTTTTGAGCAGAAAAAAACGACCATGTATAGTAAGGCGTTTTGAGCAGAAAAAAACGACCATGTATAGTAAGGCGTTTTGAGCAGAAAAAAACGACCATGTATAGTAAGGCGTTTTGAGCAGAAAAAAACGACCATGTATAGTAAGGCGTTTTGAGCAGAAAAAAACGACCATGTATAGTAAGGCGTTTTGAGCAGAAAAAAACGACCATGTATAGTAAGGCGTTTTGAGCAGAAAAAAACGACCATGTATAGTAAGGCGTTTTGAGCAGAAAAAAACGACCATGTATAGTAAGGCGTTTTGAGCAGAAAAAAACGACCATGTATAGTAAGGCGTTTTGAGCAGAAAAAAACGACCATGTATAGTAAGGCGTTTTGAGCAGAAAAAAACGACCATGTATAGTAAGGCGTTTTGAGCAGAAAAAAACGACCATGTATAGTAAGGCGTTTTGAGCAGAAAAAAACGACCATGTATAGTAAGGCGTTTTGAGCAGAAAAAAACGACCATGTATAGTAAGGCGTTTTGAGCAGAAAAAAACGACCATGTATAGTAAGGCGTTTTGAGCAGAAAAAAACGACCATGTATAGTAAGGCGTTTTGAGCAGAAAAAAACGACCATGTATAGTAAGGCGTTTTGAGCAGAAAAAAACGACCATGTATAGTAAGGCGTTTTGAGCAGAAAAAAACGACCATGTATAGTAAGGCGTTTTGAGCAGAAAAAAACGACCATGTATAGTAAGGCGTTTTGAGCAGAAAAAAACGACCATGTATAGTAAGGCGTTTTGAGCAGAAAAAAACGACCATGTATAGTAAGGCGTTTTGAGCAGAAAAAAACGACCATGTATAGTAAGGCGTTTTGAGCAGAAAAAAACGACCATGTATAGTAAGGCGTTTTGAGCAGAAAAAAACGACCATGTATAGTAAGGCGTTTTGAGCAGAAAAAAACGACCATGTATAGTAAGGCGTTTTGAGCAGAAAAAAACGACCATGTATAGTAAGGCGTTTTGAGCAGAAAAAAACGACCATGTATAGTAAGGCGTTTTGAGCAGAAAAAAACGACCATGTATAGTAAGGCGTTTTGAGCAGAAAAAAACGACCATGTATAGTAAGGCGTTTTGAGCAGAAAAAAACGACCATGTATAGTAAGGCGTTTTGAGCAGAAAAAAACGACCATGTATAGTAAGGCGTTTTGAGCAGAAAAAAACGACCATGTATAGTAAGGCGTTTTGAGCAGAAAAAAACGACCATGTATAGTAAGGCGTTTTGAGCAGAAAAAAACGACCATGTATAGTAAGGCGTTTTGAGCAGAAAAAAACGACCATGTATAGTAAGGCGTTTTGAGCAGAAAAAAACGACCATGTATAGTAAGGCGTTTTGAGCAGAAAAAAACGACCATGTATAGTAAGGCGTTTTGAGCAGAAAAAAACGACCATGTATAGTAAGGCGTTTTGAGCAGAAAAAAACGACCATGTATAGTAAGGCGTTTTGAGCAGAAAAAAACGACCATGTATAGTAAGGCGTTTTGAGCAGAAAAAAACGACCATGTATAGTAAGGCGTTTTGAGCAGAAAAAAACGACCATGTATAGTAAGGCGTTTTGAGCAGAAAAAAACGACCATGTATAGTAAGGCGTTTTGAGCAGAAAAAAACGACCATGTATAGTAAGGCGTTTTGAGCAGAAAAAAACGACCATGTATAGTAAGGCGTTTTGAGCAGAAAAAAACGACCATGTATAGTAAGGCGTTTTGAGCAGAAAAAAACGACCATGTATAGTAAGGCGTTTTGAGCAGAAAAAAACGACCATGTATAGTAAGGCGTTTTGAGCAGAAAAAAACGACCATGTATAGTAAGGCGTTTTGAGCAGAAAAAAACGACCATGTATAGTAAGGCGTTTTGAGCAGAAAAAAACGACCATGTATAGTAAGGCGTTTTGAGCAGAAAAAAACGACCATGTATAGTAAGGCGTTTTGAGCAGAAAAAAACGACCATGTATAGTAAGGCGTTTTGAGCAGAAAAAAACGACCATGTATAGTAAGGCGTTTTGAGCAGAAAAAAACGACCATGTATAGTAAGGCGTTTTGAGCAGAAAAAAACGACCATGTATAGTAAGGCGTTTTGAGCAGAAAAAAACGACCATGTATAGTAAGGCGTTTTGAGCAGAAAAAAACGACCATGTATAGTAAGGCGTTTTGAGCAGAAAAAAACGACCATGTATAGTAAGGCGTTTTGAGCAGAAAAAAACGACCATGTATAGTAAGGCGTTTTGAGCAGAAAAAAACGACCATGTATAGTAAGGCGTTTTGAGCAGAAAAAAACGACCATGTATAGTAAGGCGTTTTGAGCAGAAAAAAACGACCATGTATAGTAAGGCGTTTTGAGCAGAAAAAAACGACCATGTATAGTAAGGCGTTTTGAGCAGAAAAAAACGACCATGTATAGTAAGGCGTTTTGAGCAGAAAAAAACGACCATGTATAGTAAGGCGTTTTGAGCAGAAAAAAACGACCATGTATAGTAAGGCGTTTTGAGCAGAAAAAAACGACCATGTATAGTAAGGCGTTTTGAGCAGAAAAAAACGACCATGTATAGTAAGGCGTTTTGAGCAGAAAAAAACGACCATGTATAGTAAGGCGTTTTGAGCAGAAAAAAACGACCATGTATAGTAAGGCGTTTTGAGCAGAAAAAAACGACCATGTATAGTAAGGCGTTTTGAGCAGAAAAAAACGACCATGTATAGTAAGGCGTTTTGAGCAGAAAAAAACGACCATGTATAGTAAGGCGTTTTGAGCAGAAAAAAACGACCATGTATAGTAAGGCGTTTTGAGCAGAAAAAAACGACCATGTATAGTAAGGCGTTTTGAGCAGAAAAAAACGACCATGTATAGTAAGGCGTTTTGAGCAGAAAAAAACGACCATGTATAGTAAGGCGTTTTGAGCAGAAAAAAACGACCATGTATAGTAAGGCGTTTTGAGCAGAAAAAAACGACCATGTATAGTAAGGCGTTTTGAGCAGAAAAAAACGACCATGTATAGTAAGGCGTTTTGAGCAGAAAAAAACGACCATGTATAGTAAGGCGTTTTGAGCAGAAAAAAACGACCATGTATAGTAAGGCGTTTTGAGCAGAAAAAAACGACCATGTATAGTAAGGCGTTTTGAGCAGAAAAAAACGACCATGTATAGTAAGGCGTTTTGAGCAGAAAAAAACGACCATGTATAGTAAGGCGTTTTGAGCAGAAAAAAACGACCATGTATAGTAAGGCGTTTTGAGCAGAAAAAAACGACCATGTATAGTAAGGCGTTTTGAGCAGAAAAAAACGACCATGTATAGTAAGGCGTTTTGAGCAGAAAAAAACGACCATGTATAGTAAGGCGTTTTGAGCAGAAAAAAACGACCATGTATAGTAAGGCGTTTTGAGCAGAAAAAAACGACCATGTATAGTAAGGCGTTTTGAGCAGAAAAAAACGACCATGTATAGTAAGGCGTTTTGAGCAGAAAAAAACGACCATGTATAGTAAGGCGTTTTGAGCAGAAAAAAACGACCATGTATAGTAAGGCGTTTTGAGCAGAAAAAAACGACCATGTATAGTAAGGCGTTTTGAGCAGAAAAAAACGACCATGTATAGTAAGGCGTTTTGAGCAGAAAAAAACGACCATGTATAGTAAGGCGTTTTGAGCAGAAAAAAACGACCATGTATAGTAAGGCGTTTTGAGCAGAAAAAAACGACCATGTATAGTAAGGCGTTTTGAGCAGAAAAAAACGACCATGTATAGTAAGGCGTTTTGAGCAGAAAAAAACGACCATGTATAGTAAGGCGTTTTGAGCAGAAAAAAACGACCATGTATAGTAAGGCGTTTTGAGCAGAAAAAAACGACCATGTATAGTAAGGCGTTTTGAGCAGAAAAAAACGACCATGTATAGTAAGGCGTTTTGAGCAGAAAAAAACGACCATGTATAGTAAGGCGTTTTGAGCAGAAAAAAACGACCATGTATAGTAAGGCGTTTTGAGCAGAAAAAAACGACCATGTATAGTAAGGCGTTTTGAGCAGAAAAAAACGACCATGTATAGTAAGGCGTTTTGAGCAGAAAAAAACGACCATGTATAGTAAGGCGTTTTGAGCAGAAAAAAACGACCATGTATAGTAAGGCGTTTTGAGCAGAAAAAAACGACCATGTATAGTAAGGCGTTTTTAGCCGAGAAAAACGATAATGGTTAGTCAGGCGTTTTTAGATGAAAAAAATGACCATGTATAGTGAGGCGTTTTTCGACAAAAAAAAACGACCATGTATAGTAAGCCGTTTTAAACCGAAAAAAAGGACCACGTTTAGTCAGCCGTTTTTAGACGAAAAAAACTCACCATGTATAGTAAGGTGTTTTTAGACGAAAAAAACGACTATGTATAGTTAGGCGTTTTTAGATGAAAAAAACGACCATGTATAGTCAGGCGTTTTTTTCCGAAAAAACGTCCATGTATAGTAAGGCGTTTTTAGATGAAAAAAACGACCATGTATCGTAACGTATTTTTAGCCGAAAAAAAACGACTATGTATAATAATGCTTTTTTAGCCGAAAAAAACGACCATGTATATAGTAAGGCGTTTTTAGACGAAAAAAAGGACCATGTATAGTAATGCGTTTTTTAGCCGTGAAAAAGGACCATGTTTTGTTAAGCGTTTTTAGACGAAAAAAAAGACCATGTATAGTGAGGCGTTTTTCGACAAAAAAATCGACCATGTATAGTAAGGCGTTTTAAACCGAAAAAAACGACCATGTATTGTAAGGTGTTTTTAGACGAAAAAAACGACCATGTATTGTAAGACGTTTTTCGCCGAAAAAAACGTCCATGTATAGTAAGGCATTTTTAGACAAAAAAAACGACCATGTATTGCATGGGTGTCAAACTCATTTTACATTGTGGGCCACATAGGGCCTCGGTAGATGTCAAGTGGGCCAGACCATTTAAAATTATACCATACTCTGCTATAAATAACCAAAATAACATGTCTTTGTTTTGGTCTACAGATGCACAAGAACACTAGGAAAATGTTGAAATGTAATGAACATATCTTTCACAAAACATTTCATGAAGCATCTAAGACAGGGGCCCCCAACCTTTTTTGCCCCACGGACCGGTTTATGTCAGACAATATTTTCAGGGACCGGCATTTAAGGTGTGGCGGAAATAATACAACAAAATAATATGGTATGTGCTGCATGAAAACTGTGGTGTTTTCGAAATATAATAAACACAAGGAGCGTCTAATCTGGCTGCAACACTCTAATCACTACGGTA